GTATCTTTAACTTCTTGAGGAAATTTTTGGATGCAACATTCTGCCGTAGAAATCGTTTAAAATGAAAGATAATAGGCCCAAGTTTGTACCGCGACTTTCGCAGGTTTTCGGCCGCACCTTTCTCGTCTTTAATATTGGTAATTTTAGCTGATATACAGTGTTTGTATGGCGAGATACATGGCGCTGGCGTAATTTGCCGAGGAAACGAGAGTAAGGACCTCAAAACTACGCACAAAGTAGCCTCATTCTGCCACAATAACATAGCGACGTTCGCTGGTGTGAAAATCCTTTTCAGTTCATTGTAATTATTAAGAATTTCTCTCTCGCCATACAAATCCTTATTAGAGTCAGACATTTGTAAAGGTCATTAGGATCCGTTATGCGCATGCTTAGCGGCCATGCTGTCCTCAATTTCTGCCCATAATAATAATAATAATGTTTATTACTTATATTGCGCAGTCTAACATGCAAAAAAGATATGATCGAATGCGCATTACATTAATAGTGTCCCAAGGAGAGCGAGGAATTCACGGCCTTAGTGATGATAGGGAGAAGCGTATCGGACATGCCGACTACTAAATTGGTCGGCATAGGATCAAGTTGTAGATCAAGTTTCAAACACTTTTAGTAAATACTGGGTTTATGAAAATGCATTAGATTTCCATTCTTGATTCGAAAATTACATGGGTATTACAATTAAAAAATTAGGAATTATAGCAACTAAGAATTATAGCAACTTGAATGAAAGTTGACAAAGGTTTAAGAAAACACATTTAGTCATACATGTATTTAGAAATATATGTCGGTTACAGTTCAAAAAGAAAGAAATTGGAACTTGAATCTAGGTTGCAAAGACTGAATTTTAACATTTGTGCTGAAGTCGAGCTAGCTTAGAACGGAATTAGCACGACATTTGAAACAGGCCTTATTTAAGATGGATGTGTATGTCGAGGTAGCGGATTTCATACACTTAGCACTGCAGCGTAAAGCAGATATTGCAATGTACTTTTGACATCGCAATTAAAAGGTTTATGGATATAACTCTACTGACTTTCAAGGCCAGGTTGATCGAAGCACGGTTAAGGTAACCCAGGGTTAGTGCAAATTAAATTGAAATCGTATATGAGAGCCTTAAAAGCACTTTCAGTATAATTCGTTTTTTAATACAATTTGACTGCATGCTCTGAAAAAAAAAAATAAAGAAAATTATCAGAGAAAATGCTTTTTAACAAGAGGAAAAGAAACCCCAGTCAAAATATAACCCTGCCTTCGCGCTAATCGGCGGAAAGCGGGGCCCGGCATATGTAACATCAGCATCATCTTTTAACAAATAAAATTTGATTTACATTGATGAACTTAGCGTCTTTTCTGCATTACAAATACCCTTTTCTTCAAGAATGCCTGCCGACCAACTTTCCCTGATCGCTTTCCAGACGTTTCAACTAGACGAATCTTTTTCTGGATTCGTCAGAGTTTCCATATTCGCTATTCGCAGGAGTGGGGAATTCGAAAAGACAGTGCGGTTACACTACACATATAGAATTCAAGATGACTATTATGACTGTATATAAAGTTTTAAACTTTAGATTTGGGATTCAAAGTTTCCGGAAACACAAGCAAACCATGGTACATCGTTTTAACCAGTCTCTTCTACTTTCCAATCTTAGCCTCCAACCCCGGCCCACACTTTTCTCTACTAGCCTTTTTTTTTTTTTAGTCCTAGCCTCCCCCCCCCC